AGCGGCGCTAAAGTCATGGCAAAGACAGAGACTGCATTTGCTGTAGAGGGGGAGAGGAGATGCCACAGATGCTTTCCCTCTTGGTCACATCACACCCGTGGAGGAAGTGCCACCAGGTCCTCTGAAGGGCAGATGAGGGACCTGGAGTAATGTGGGGACACATTGCTGTGTTCTTATTGAACAGTTCCCTGTATGCCAGATAGCATTTTTTTTGGGGGGGGGGGGGTTTCGAGACAGAGTTTCTCTGTGTAGCTTTGGAGCCTGTCTTGGCACTCGCTCTAGAGACCAGGCTGGGCTGGAACTCACAGAGATCCGCCTGCCTCTGCCTCCCGAGTGCTGGGATTAAAGGTGTGTGCCACCAACGTCCGGCATCAGATAGCATTCTTAGGACTCTCACACTGGCGTAGTCAACCAGGGATGGAGGCACTGGCCTCTGTTTAACAGAGGGAGGTGATGGAAGCCCGTTTGTGGCCTGGTCTCAGCCACGCAGCAGGAAGCACCGTGGTAGGGCTCAACCTTGGTGCCCACTCACTGTCTGTGGCCTCCCTCTGGGAGAGATGCCCAACTACGGCATCTAGGCCCTCATCAAGGCTCAGAGACTGATAGAACACACTGTGATGAGCAGGTACACGCCTGGTTCAGTGTACAACAGCTGCCAACCTCTCCTACCCCCCATGACCCAGAATTCTTCTACCCCTCACAATCCTGGACCTATGTCAAGACTTTAAATAAGCCAAGCTCTGAATTTCAGAAATCAACTCTAGAATGCTCCCCACTCCTTAGGGCTTGGAGATGGAGAGTGTGGGGAGAGAAGAGCTAAATAAAACAGGCTGCGATGGGCCTGCGAGCTAGCCCGGAACCTACCGGACCCTGTACAATGGAATCCCAGGAAATTTAGCCCATGGGTGGACAGCTGCCTCCTAGGGTCCAGGAACAGCTGGGATGGTGGCTGTTGACCTGCCAACCAAGGCCTTCCCCTCTCGTTTTCCAACTGAACAGATGTTCTATTTGACGTCAGTCTGGGCCTTACCCCCCACCCTTTACTCCCGTGCCTCTGACTCTAATCCTCTAGGCTACAGGAGTTGGTGGGTACTAGGGAGGGCTGAGATTTGGACGTGGCATGTAGAAAGAGGCAAGGCTGTTTGAGAGACCCGAGTTCAATCTCGTCCTCCTCTAGGATGACAGCCATGAGTCTCCTAGTGCTTGTCCTGAGCTGGGGTTCCTTGGGCCTGGAGGCTGCCACAGCTGTGGTGAGTTTGGGGCTCTGGATTCGGGTGTTCTGAACCCTGGGGTGGGTGTGACCTGATTAATGCCATAAATCCTAAGGCTTGGGGAACGTGGTGACAGTTCTGAGGGTTCAGCCTTGTTTGCTGGGTCCTGGGAGAGCAGATGCTGGGGGAGGACGGTTGGAGCCTGGACCTCTGAGCTCTGTGGAACTAAGTGGACATTTCCAGTTTGAGCCCTTCCTACTTGCTTCATCAGGGCCTCAGTGACTTCTGCTCCAACCCAGACGCCTACGTGCTGAACCTGACCCAGGAGGAGACAGGGCTCAGCTCAGGTGATCCCGCTAAATCCCAGCCGCCGTCAGCACTCCCTGGCACCCCCTAGTGCCCAGTCCATTGTAGGGTAGAGTACAGAACGTCTACCAGTCTTGGCAGGGTGGTAAAAGGGCAGGATCAAAATACCTGGGAATGTAAGGGAGGGGTGGGGAAAGTGGGCCACGGGCCACAGTGCCAGGAGGATTTGACTGTGGGAGAACGAGGGAACCATAATTAGGCCAGGTGAATCTGCTTCCAGGTGCTGGTGATGCAGAAATGATGAAAAGTATGCGGTGTGATATTGTCCACCTGTAATAATCCCAGCAATTAGGAGGCTGCGGCATGAGTTCAAGGGCAGCCTGGGCTATACAGACCTCGTCACACCCTGTTCTAAAACAAAACAATAAACAAAAACAAAAACAAAACAAAACAAAAAAACCAACAGAATGGGATCCAGAATGCCGCTCAGTTGGTAGAGCCCTTTTCTTGCAAAGCTGTTAAGTTTGATTCTCAGCAACGCATGAGACTTGGCATAGTGGCTTGTGCCTAAAATCTTAGCTCTTAGGGAGTGGAAGAAGGAAGGACAGAAGTTCAAGGTGATCCTCAGCTATGTAACTAGTTCAAAGCTGGTTTGGGCTCCGTGAGACTCTGTCTCAAAACAACGACAGCAGACTGAACAATAAAACAAGAGGAGGAAAGAGGAGGAGGGAAGGAAAAGGAAAGGAAGGAAACGGGGGTGGGAGGGAGAAGAGAAGGAGAGAAAGAGGAAGGAAAAGAGGAAAAGGAAAGGATAGCAGAGTGACTTGCAGGTCTCTGAGACCCCAAGAAAGTTCCAAACTGGGTGGGGAATGTCCCCTGGTCTATGACTACCCTTTGGATTTGCTCAGGGAGAGAGAGCCTGGGCCCAGGCTCATAGCCTGCTCCTTTTTCTCCCTCCACTTCAGACTTCATCAAATATTATTTCCTGTGCAACCAGGAAGTCTCCAACCCCTTCCAACAGGTTAGGACTGTGGGCGAAAGACACGGGGACTGAGGAGATGGCTAACGTGGAACCTGCCGGGCACATGCTGGGCTGCACTCCTGCCTGGGTTCCCTGGGAGGCGGAGGGGGCCGAGGTCTGGAGCTGTGTATTCTGGTAGACAGATGGCGCGGTGGGCACCCTGACCCGAGCCTTCCTCTCTTTCATCTCCCTGCAGAGGCTGACCCTGTCCCAGCCAGCTCTGGCCAGCATCCACTCCCAGCTGCAGGGCCTGGAGCGGGAGGCTGTCCCTCAGTTCCCCGCGCTGTGGGATGCTGGCCCCAGTCCTGGGAAGGGGCCGGTTGGCTGGGTCAGATAGACTTGTGGAGCTGGCCCTTCTCCAAGTGGGCGGAGCCTGTGGAAAGGGGGGGGACAATAGAGCCGTTGCTCCAAGAGACGTA